ACATATTATTGTTGTAAATTCTTACTGTTAAAAGCATGAAAAAGCCTTGAAAAAATATATAAAAAAACGCAAAAAAAAATATATATAAAAAGAAAAAGAAAAAAAAGAAGAAAAAACAGAACAAGGCTAAATGTCAATGTATATGCTTCTCTCTTTTGTATATTTTTCTTGTACATCAAATTACTCTTTTTACTATCCCTAACTGTTGAAAATAATAAGTGTTGTATAGATTATTGCCAAAAGCTCCTACTCACTACTTAGTACCTCTCTAAATTTGTTAAATTTATGTCAAGTTCATTTCTTTTCTTTCCTCATTAATTCCCTTTGTTCATAAGCCTTTTCCCACATACCCCATTATAACCCAATGTGAAAAGTCCTAATTGATCTTAATTGTGTTTTGTCTGAAATAAGTTGATAGGAAAATCTTATTTTGCATAATTTTGCATGGTGGAACAAACGAATCTAAATTTCATTTTCACATCACACACTTTGAGTTTGTTAGAGTTGAGATTTGACCAAAACGTTTCAGATGATATGCAAAATATTTTTATGATTCTCACTACTCTTATTTTGTGACAAGTCAAGGAAATTTGATTGATCACTTGGAGTGAAAGGAAAATGTGCATGATTTGAGGGTTATACATGTGATTTGGCAAATTGATTTTTGCTTGCTTGCTTGTGTGAAATGTAAATATTTTTGCTTGAGGACAAGCAAAATCTTAAGTATGGGGGAGTTGGTGTACTCCTAATTTACCATATTTATGATCTTGTTTTGTCACACTTTTAATATTTTATTTCTCATTTTTTAAATAAAAAGGATTCATTTTTATCATCTTGGACATTTTAAGGTATTGCACTTGTTTTGGTATATTTTTGAGTTTCAGGATAATTCAGGACGTATATTAATTTTTGAAAAGAAATAAATATTACTCCCGAGTGAAGACAGAAAAATCATCAAAGTGAAGCGGGTCCTTATTTTAAATCTGAAATATTTTATCATGAGACCCTGAATAAATTTCAGAATGAACCAGACTGTCTCCAATAAAATGTACTGGTTAGCTGTTGACCAGTTAACTGAGCAAACAGTTAACCGGCCAAAAGAAGAAGAGGCAGAAAAAGAAAGACAAAGTATGTCTGATTAGAAGAAAACACTATTCACTACATAGTGAATAAAATATCAACCGTAGAAAAAGGCTCCAACAAGGGATTAGATTGGATTATTCATCTTGCAACTTGGCTGCACTTAAAACCAAAACCTGCTTCATCATATTCAGTCGGCAACAAGAGAATAGCAGCAACGAAGAAAAAAATACAACGCAACAGGAGTGGCACTATTGACACAACGAAATCAAGATCAAGGGCAATCGCATCTGATGTAATAATAAATCAAAATATTATTTATCAACATCTTAATTTCAGCATTTTTATACTTTAGCCCCTTCTCCTACTACTATATAAGGGACCATCCAAGAGCTGCAAAGAACACACCAATTCAGAGAGAAATCTCCTTCTTCTCTTCTTTAGCTTTGTTCATAGTAGTAGTCATATAATAAAAGTGATTCTGTGAAGAACACTTTTTGTAAATTTCATTTTGTAATTTTCATTTCCAGAATTTTAGTTCTTTAATTTCAACAATCAAGTTCATTTGGGAAGTATCAGCCAAAATCATTCTCAGCTTAAGGATTTCACTCTCTATTCCAGCTCATTATTTATGCCTTCAGGTTCTTATTCAAATACTCATTTTATTTTCTTTAATCTGTTAAATTAATTATGTCTATCATTAGTTTTACTTTTATTTCATTTACTGTAATTATGTGTAACTAAATTAGTTTAGGTTTGGGCAAGATGTAATTTTTACTGTTAATGTTCATATGATAATAATTGGTTAAAACTATTACTTGGTTAATTTTAGGAGTGTTGGGTTGAATAATCTAATCTGCTAAATATATTATATTGGGAAATGAATATTATCACAGGAGTGAAATTTCATTAAAATCTCTTTTGTTAATTCACCCACTAAATTGCTACACGGAAGTGTTAAGGAATTTAGGATAATTTGATTTTGTACTTTTTACTGTCTTAATAAAATTACCGCGGGAGCGGAATTAATTTAAGATAGTGTAATCAACTAAGTCGTGGGAACGATTAGAAGATTACCATTTGTAAATCTTTCACACACCTAAAAGTAACTAAGTTAATTAGTTAAATCTTTATTATTATGTACATCAAAATAAAATTACTCTTAGCCCAAGCCTAATTTTCTCTATCATTAATTGTTAAATTACCAGGTATTTTGATTTATTTTACTCCCTAGCAATTTCGCATTTATAAAATCAAGATAAAAAAAAATTGTTCACTTAGCTCCATTGCAAAATGTTATTAATTTGTGATTAGCTAAAAATCAATCATTAACTCTAGTTCTCTTTGTGAGTCATTCTCTAGCGGAACGATACTCACTTACTCTATACTATATCGTTACAAGCCAATTAAAACATCATTTCCATCCACATATTTACACCATTTCACACTACACATTTTGGCATGTCATTGAGCATGGAGGGTGAGGTGGAGATTCTTGAATGTGATATCCATATTCGTGAGGAACAAGGGTGTAGTGCTTGCTTGGAGATCTCTAGAGCTTTGTTGGGTGATAGCCTTGAACTCAAGAAGGAAGAAATTGATGATAAAGACAAAGAAGAGACTCAAGGCGTACCCTTGATTGAAAAGGAAAATCTTGATTCAAGTTTTCATGGCACTCTTCACTTGATGGTTACTAGTGCGCCTATGTCTACATGCTTCAAGGAGAAGAACCTTGAGGATGGTGAAGGGTTTGTCCATGAAGGTTATATTCTTGACGTTGATGCTTGTGGAGGGTATGAAGATCGGAAGCTCCTTATTTGGCTTAGAGAGTTCAAAGATGAATGCCACTTGAAGGCGTATCTTGATGAGAAAGTGGATTCATAGCAAATGAGTGCTCCTCCGCATGACTTGGAGCCTGAGAGCTGAAGAGGTAACCGTCGGGCATACGACGGGTTAAAAATAGCGCTTCTTGGGAGGCAATCCAAGTGCATTGCATATTTTCATTTCTCTTTTCATTCTCTCCTCTTTCTTGCATGAGCATGTTTACTTTCACTGCCATTTACTTGCTTTGAATAAGTGTCTTTTCTAGTGAGCTTTTCTTATCATGTGTGGCTTAACCGTTGATGTTTTATGGGGACGCCCCGACGCTTAGTTTTGTGCTTCTGTGCTTATGTCGTTGTGCTTCACATGTACCACCCCATACCTTTCATCCGCATTAACCATTCCATAAGTCCTTTTAATCATGCCTTGAGTTTAGAATGTGAGAGAGAGAGGTGGCCCTGTGAGGACAAGAGTGGAAAAATGTTGACTGTGTGCTTGTGTTACTCCCGACTTATCTCTTGTTTATGCATTTTGTCTCTTGGTATTCAATATTCTTTGCATATACGCATTCAATCTTGATTCAATTGATTGGTGCCTTGGGAACTCGTTGAATTTGTAGCCCGAGTTTTAGCTTGATTGAGGACAAGCAAGTGCTTAAGTGTGGGGGAGTTGATAATGCTCAATTTGTATATTTTTTCTCTCATTTAATCTCCCACATTTGATTGACTTTTGGATTAGTTTTGCTTTGAATTGCTTAAAACCTCGGTCTTATTTTAATTGTGTGTGTTACTAATCGATTTGGTATTGTTTTATTAGCTTTCGAAGGTTTAGGAGCACCCCGAGCCGTAACTGAAAGACCGAGAGCACAAAAAGTCAATCCCGGATCAACCTACAGTTGACCAGTCAACCAAGGGTTGACCAACAACCCACCCCTCCCAGCTGGTCATCTCTAGGGGTGGGATTTTGGAACCGGGAACCGGGAACCGTTAAATCGGTTGGAACCGAACCGTTATAACCCGGTTCGGTTCGGTTCCTACAAATGAGATATTAGTTGTTAACGGTTCGGTTCCTAATTGTTGTTAACGGTTCGGTTCCTGGTTCCTATAAAAAATATATGCACGGAACCGTTAAGGAATCGATATTAAAAATATAAAAATAAAAATAAAAATAATAGTAGTAGTATTAGTATTAATACTAATATAACAAAAATAAACACAACAACAATAATAATTAATAAATGATATTTAGCCAATAATTTTAATTTAGTTTAATCTATAAAAACAAAAATAATAAATATTTGCACATGAGGTTGAATACATTAAGCTCATTTTTACAAATCAAGTTTTGTTTCATCAATAGGATGTACATGCAAACTCGATGTATTGCTAGGTTTTGAGAGACATAAAGTGTACGTCCTATCCTTGCCACTACAATGATGAGCAACCTTCATTTCAACGACATAACGAACGATTTTTATATTTTATGTATTAAATGAAAATTAAAATCTTCTTTTTATTCTATTAAGTGTTCACTTAAGTCCGAGCTTTGATGTTTGGAGTGATGAGAACTCTAAATAAATGTTTATGACTTGTTTTGACTTTTTGACGTTTTCATGTGGTAGAAGCTACACTATGTGTTAATTCTTACATGAAAAAAAATATTCTAGGAACCGATAAAAGCAAGAACTGAACCGTTTAGTATTGGTTCAGTTCCATATCGGTTCTTGATTTTTTATATAGGAACCGAACCGATTTCATTTGTTAAAACTTAAATAACGGTTCCACTATTTTTGAGTAAGAACCGAACCGGTTCCAGGCCTAGTAATCTCTCGACAGCAAGCAGCAACCAAGCAGCAAACAAGAACTAACGCAACAGGCAGAAGAAGGAGAAACAGTCTCTGTCCGTAACACCACCGCAGCTGCCGCCCAGTCGTGCCAGAAGTCGGGAAGACGCTCAGAGAGGACCGCATTGGCCGCCGACGGAGACCAATGGCCGGATTCCAAGCCCTCACCGTCGCCGTTATCCACATCTCGAGTTTGAACCACCTGCCGCCATGTCCGCTCGCATCGCCACTCCAGTCCGTCTCACTTCAGTCGGATCCTGCACCAGAAATCAACACCGTCGACGATGGCTGCTCGAGACCTGCTGGCCATGGCAGGGCTGGTCCTGAGGAAATGAAGGCCCGGTGCAAAAATAATAATTGGGCCTTCTTTTCAAAGTTTCAACACAAGTTAAAAAAAAACTAACCGAAACCGCACCAACTCAAACGGTACCTGAAAGTCGGGACTCGAACATAAATCAGTTTAATGAAGGTTTTTTGAGTTATAAAATCGGTTCAAACCGAACCGAACTGATTTTTATTAAGAGGTATTTTAATTATTTATTTTGTAGGACAAATAGGTAATATAAAACTTGTACGTCCGTATTTCAACAATTAGTTGATTTGGCCTGGTGGTTGATGTTTAGAAATCAGTGTGCATGCTTTTATTTTCACCTGGGTTCAAATCCCGCATGCCTTGCTTCTTTTCTTTTTTGTTTCTAAAGCTTAAGATTCTCACACCGGTGGAAACGGAGGATTTACTACTCCTTCGTTCCTATATACACGCTCCTCCTTTGCAGATGAGGAATACACGAAGTGACGAACCAGGCTTGCTTCAAAGCCTTGCCCTAGTCCACCTAAGTAATAATACTACTACAAAAAAATTGGGCCCTTCCAATTTTTTGAGCCCTGTGCGGTTGGACACCCTGCACACCACCAGGATCGGCCCTGGACCATGGACCGTCCCTGGCCTTGCCTGATTGACGAAGAAGATCAAAGACCTGACCTGCTCCTGCGTACGAAGAGGGAAGGTGGGCTGAAAGCCCTAATCTGATTTTAAGCATCGAAAAGACTAAAATGCCCCCACTGCTCCTTTGTTTTAAGTTTCATCCTTCTACCCTTATAAGTCATTTGCCCAGCCCAAATTTGATACTTTAAATATCAGCTCCAGACCAGTTTTGAGGGAGGAAGCCACTGGTCTAAGACACATTAGAATAGATTTTACATTTTATATTATGGTTTTTACATTTCATGCCGCCCAGTCGTGCCGGAAATCGAGAAGGCGCTCAGAGAGGAGCGTAGTGGCCGCCGAAGGAGACCAGTGGCCGGATTCCAAGCCCTCACCATTTCCGTTATCCGCATCTCGAGTTTGAACCACCTGCCGCCATGTCCGCTCGCATCGCCGCTTCAGTCCGTCTCACTTCAGTCGGATCCTGTTAGACTTCAGGCTATTCGTGTTACTATAGAGAAGGATTAACAAGAGCGTAACTAACTCTAGCAGACAAGATTAGGAAGGAAATGGAAGTGTATTATTTCATTCAACATAACATTCAACTTTACACCTCAATTATTATTTATAGACATTAGCCGACTTAGCTGCCAGCTAGCCTCACTAACCAACTCATCTGCCAACTGGCCCAACTAACACAACCTTGACCCAAACGGTTAACCATACACAGTTAACCTATAACAATACTCTCCCCTTTAACTACTGACTTGACCTCAAGTCAAAGAGTGATAGAACTCTGGATAAGCTTCTTTGATGAAATCAGCCCATTCCCATGTAGCATCTTCAGGATTTTGCCCTTCCCACTGGGTCAACAACTTAACTCGTGCATCATTCATATGCTTAAGCAATTGCCTCTCCAAAACTGCCATAGGCAAAACCTTGCTACTACCATCCTTTCCTTGTAACCATATAGGAATGTGTGGCTTAACGGGCAACTCTCCTCTAAACTCTTTCAGCTTGGATACATGAAAAGTGTGATTTATTCGAGCTTCAGGAGGCAATGCTAGTTCATAGGCCACCTTTCCAACCTTCTGATAGATTTGAAATGGTCCATAGAACTTGGGAGCTAGCTTCTGATTGGACCTATATTCCACTGAATGCTGTCTGTATGCCTGCAACTTCAACAAAGCCCAATCACCTACCTCAAAGGTTCTCTCAGATCTCTTCCTGTCAGCCTGAACCTTCATTCTGTTTTGGGCTTTAAACAAATGATCTTTCAAGGTTTTAATCATGTTCTCTCTCTGTTGCAGTGATCTATCTACTACATCCACCTTAGATTCTCCAGGTAAATATGGTAGATGCAAAGGAGGCTTCTCGTTATACACGGCTTCATAAGGTGTCATCTGAATGGGTGAATGAAAGGAGGTGTTATAACACCACTCTGCCAGGGGCATCCACTTGCACCACTCATTCGGATTCTCACTGCACATTCAACGTAGGTAAGTCTCCAAACATCTGTTGACTATCTATGTTTGTCCATCTGTTTGAGGATGGAATGAGGTAGAAAATAACAAATCCACTCCCTGCACAGAAAACAAGGCTGACCAAAATTGACTTAGAAACACAACACCTCTGTCACTAACAATAGTTCTAGGCCACCCATGCAACTTGAACACATTGTCAAGGTAAACTTGAGCTACTTCCATTGCTATGAAGGGATGTTTTAATGTCATAAAGTGAGCATACTTACTCAATCTGTCCACCACTACAAAGATAACATCTTTACCCATTGAGTTAGGTAATCCTTCCACAAGGTCCATAGATATGTCTAACCATACCTCTACCGGTATGGGTAGTGGCTGCAATTTCCCAGGGTAGGCTGAATTGTCATACTTACAAGCTTGACAAACTCCACAAGCTCTAATATATGCATTTACATCCTTATTTAAACCCCTCTAAGAAACAATATAGCAAATTCTCTGTATGGTTGCATCTCTGCCTGAATGTCCTCCAGTAGGAGAATTATGAGCCCATTGTACGATTTTAGATCTCACCTCTTCATCATTGCCTACTAGGATCTTGTTTGTCTTCCTGAGAGTGCCATCCTCCAACTGGTATTTTACATCTCCTGCTGGTATGATACCTTGAGAAATATTCTCCAACAACTTTGTGATTCTTTCATCCTTATCATAACTTTTCTTGATCAAAGGAATTAAGTTAGAATCCATCGCAGATAAGGCCAAACATAACAATTCAGCTCCTCCTACCCTTGAAAAGGCATCACCAACCTTGTTTTCCACTCCATTTTTGTATTGAATCTTATACCTAAACCCCATTAATTTGGACAACCAGAACTGCTGAAATGGTGTGGAAATTTTCTGCTCCAAAAGCCATTTCAGACCCTTCTGATCTGTCTTTATTATGAAGGTTTGGCCATACAAATACTGCTACCATTTTTGAACAGCAAATACTAGTGCTAACAACTCCTTCTCATAGACCTATAGCCTTTGCCATTTTGACCCCAATGCTCTACTAATATATGCCAATAGATGACCCTCTTGCATCAACACTGTTCTTATTCCTTCATTGGACGCATCAGTCTCAACCACAAACTGTTTGTCAAAGTTGGGTAATGCTAGAACTAGGGCAGTTGATAAAGCCTCTTTCAGCCTTTGGAAGGCTGTTGTAGCTTCTTCAGTCCACTGAAAAGCTCCTTTCTTCAGAAGCTGTGTTAAAGGCCTTGCTATCAATGCATATCCTTTAATGAATCTCCTATAATAACCTGCGATTCCCAAGAAACTCCTTAATTGCTTCAAAGATCCTGATATAGGCCACGTCTGTATTGCTTCAATCTTTCTGTGGTCTATTTCAACCCCTTGCCCAGATATGAATTGCCCTAAATACTCCACTTTATCCATGCCAAAAGCACATTTACTCCTCTTAGCACAAAGTTTATGTTGTCTCAATATTCCAAATACCTGCTGAAGATGTATTTTATGTTGTTTCTAGTCCACACTATATACCAATATATCATCAAAAAAGATGAGAACAAATTTTCTCAAAAACTCTTTTAAAATATGATTCATAAACCCTTGGAAGGTAGCAGGAGCGTTTGTAAGACCAAATGGCATTACCAGAAATTCAAAGTGCCCAAAATGAGTTTTGAATGTTGTTTTATACACATCCTCTTCATGTACCCTAATTTGGTGATAACCAACCCTCAAATCAATCTTTGAAAAGATCCTTGCTCCTGCCAATTCATCAATCAATTCTTCTACTACTGGAATAGGGAATTTGTCTTTCACTGTTTGTTTGTTCAAAGCTCTGTAGTCAGTGCAAAGTCTCCAATCACCATCCTTTCTCCCCACCATTACAACTGGTGATGCATAGGGAGAAGCACTGGATTGAATGGATCCTTTATCAAACAGTTCTCGAATCTTCTGTTCAATAATGTCCTTCTGTTTTACATAATACCTATAAGGCCTCACATTCACATGTTGTGATCCTTCCTTAAGGGGTATCCTGTGGTCAAAGACACCTCTGCTTATGGGTAAACCTTTTGGCTCCTCAAAAAGGTCTGCATATTGATTGAGAAACTCATCTAACTCATTTGCTCCTGTATCATTCCTCTCAAAATTGCTCAACTTGAATTGCCTCATGCTACTGTCTTCATGCTCCTTATCAGTTGGGGCTTGAGCTTGAATCAAATAAAACTGAGTGCCTTGCTGAAGTTGCTTAGTATTACCCTTCATTTCCTTGACTTTTCCATTTCTCTGGCCTCTTAGTACCACTCTTATCCCTTTGTAATTAAATCTCATGCATAATTCTTGAAAATCCCAAGTAGTTTCCCCCAAAGTCCTCAACCATTGCACTCCCAGCACCATATCAAACCCCTTCAAGGGTAAGATGAGCATATCACTTTGAAAATATGTGTTTTGTATTTTCCGGATCACCCTTTTACATTTGTATTTGCACTCAGTATGTGCTCCATAAGCCACAGCCACAGTTATAGGATTCATACTCTTCAACCTACAACCCAATTTTCTAGCCATATCATAACTCAAAAAGTTATGAGTGCTGCCTGAATCCAACAAAATGAGTACCTTCTTTTTATCCATATAGCCATTAATCTTCATAGTGTTATAGTCATCATATCCATGTAAGGCATGAAATGAAATCAACGGTTCTTCGTCTTGATCAAATTCTTCATTAACCTGCCCCTCTCCATCCTTTAAGCCACTGGAAGTCTCTTCTAATCTTTCAGAGCCCATTATTTCCACTAGAAATAGTTGAGCTCCTTTGTGGTTGCAAACATGCTCCCTACTGTAGGGCTGGTCACAATAGTAACAAAGACCTTTGGCCCTTTTCTCAGCTCTTTCAGCTGCAGAAACAAACCTTCTTGGTGGTGCATTGGTGGAAGCTTAGTTATGCAATGGTAGTTTATTTCCAATTGTAGGCGTAGGCAATTATGATTTTGACATATTTATTTTGGGTGCAGCTATCTTGCCTTGCATACTCAACGCATCCACTGTATCTTCCTGTAACCGTGCAAGCTTAATAGCTTATGAGATATTGCTGGGATTAAATGCTTTCACAAACGACTTTAACGTTGCTTTTAACGCAGCCAAAAAGTAATCCAGGAATTAGTCACTAGGTAGTTTAGCATTTCTTTGCACCATTTGAGCTTTCAATGTTTCAAATTCATCTATAAAAGATTCAATTGAACCTGTTTGTTTCAATCCATTGAAGTTCTCAACCACCTTGCTAGTATTAGTGTCAACAAATCTAGCCTTAACATCCTTTACAAATTGATTCCATCTCAACCTCTTCTTTCCAGCAATATAGGTTCAAAACCATCTGGCAGCCCTACCTTCTAAATACAGAGATGCCAAATTGACCTTCTATTCCTCCGGTATTTTACATAGAACAAAGTAACGTTCACACTTTTGAATCCAGATTTTAACCTCTTGACCTTCAAATGACGGAAATTTTATACGAGGCAAGAATTTGAAGGAACGATGTTCATTACCTGATGTTCGTCCTGAGTCACTTCCATGTTCATCCTGAGAGATTTAATCCTCCTCTGTCTCCTTCTCTTCTTCCTCACGATCATCTTCTTCTTCCGTCTGTTTCTTCCTTTGCAAATCAACTACCTTCTTCATGATCTTTCCAACCATGTCCATCATAGTTTTATTTTGGTTATTAAGTTTCAGATCGAACTCCACCTGCATAGCCTTAAGTGCTTCCCCATCTCAACTGATGTGGTTCGCGTCTGTACCATCCTACTGCAGCTTTATCTCTTCTTCTTACTTCAATATTGTTCGCTCGTTCTCTTCGTCTCTCATGGATGCTGAGGATCATGGCTCTGATATCATTGTTACGCTTTAGGCTATTCACGTTACTACAGAGAAGGAATAACGAGAGCGTAACTAACTCTAACAGACAAGATTAGGAAGGCAATGGAAGTGTATTATTTCATTCAACATAACATTCAACTTTACACCTCAATTATTATTTATAGACATTAGCCGACTTAGCTGCCAGCTAACCTCACTAACCAACTCATCTGCCAACTGGCCCAACTAACACCAACTTGACCCAAGCGGTTAACCATACACAGTTAACCTATAACAATACTCCCCCCCTTTAACTACTGACTTGCCTTCAAGTCAAAGAGTGATAGAACTCTGGATAAGCTTCTTTGATGAAATCAGCCCATTCCCATGTAGCATCTTCAGGATTTTACTTAACTCGTGCATCATTCCTATGCTTAAGCAATTGCCTCTCCAAAACTGCCATAGTCCAACTACCACCAACTTGACCAAAATGGTTAACCATACACAGTTAACCTATAACAGATCATGTACCAGAAATCAACACCGCCGATGATGGCTGCTCGAGACCTGCTGGTCGTGGACCGTCCGTGTCCTTTCCTAATTGACGAAGAAGATCGAAGACCTGGCCTGCGGCTGCTGCGTACGAAGAGGGAAGATGGGCTGAAAGCCCTAATCTGATTTTAAGCGTCGAAAAGACTAAAATGCCCCCACTGCTCCTTTGTTTTATGTTTCATCCTTTTACCCTTATGAGTCATTTGCCCAGCCCAACTTTGATACTTTAAATATCATCTCCAGACCAGTTTTGAGGGAGGAAGCCACTAGTCTAAGACACATTAGAATAGACTTTACTTTTTAGATTAGGGTTTTTACGTTTCATCTATCTAGCATTAGTGTAGATTTGTAGAGATCTCTCCTCCAAGATTCAAGCTTTCTACTTGCATTTCAATGGATTTCTTCTCATCTTTAAAGGGGGTATTCTTCTACACTTATTACTTCATTTAAATTCAAAAGATTAAGTCTTTAATTTTAGTTATGCACTTTTATGCTAATGTTTTTATTTTATTTCCAATGCATGAGTAGTTAGATTAGTTAGGGGGCTATTTGGAGCTTCTTTATGTGATTTAACTGTTGGGTGATTAGTATTGAATTTTATTGCTTGAAATGTGTTTGTGAAAATGCCTCAATGACTTTAATTAATACAATTTTGAGAAATCTTGTATTTAATTATTTGGGAATATTTTGATGAGAATCGGATATTCATGTGCCCCTATCACACACACCTAGGCACGATCATGAGAGTGGCGGGTCTAGGGGGCTTCTTTGCTTTGGATCATTTTCATTAGCGTCGGTAGGTGGTTTCGGACCATGAGAGTGGCCAAGATCGTCTATTGACCGATCCTACGACCACGAGAGTTGCAGAGGAACCGTTGTGCATTCTCTTTCTTGTAATAAAGTTCTAATACTATTTTTTGTCCAACCATGAATTGCAATGTGAGTTCCAAACATGCCCCCGGCATCCCTTTGCGTCTTTATTTCATAGTTTAGCTCATTTTGCATCTCCTCTTGATCATGTTTGCGTTATAGTTTCGTTTGCTCCACTTTAGTGACACATTTGTATATTCGATCGTTGTATTCACTTACACGCCATCCCTATGGTTCGACAAACCTCATCCCACTTACCACTATACGCTTCACTTTTCCCCGCACTTTCAAGTACACTTCATTTTCCTTCTTTTTGATTGACTTGAGATTCGCACGCAATGACCTATATTTGTTATATTATAGGCGGGTCCCGAGCTCATAAAAAACATATGGTGTGGCTTGCTCAAAGCTGATTTTTTTATTACTTGCGGCATGTGTCTGATTCACCTCAGTGGAGGAAAATTGATTTGAAATATCCTGGCTTTGGTAGAGAAGTCAGAAGTTTGAGGCTAGAATTATGCACTGATGGTATAAATCCATATGGCACGCTCAGTAGTCAACATAGTACTTCGCCAATTTATTGGTAATTTATAAATTTCCTTCATGGTTGTGCAGAAAGTGTAAGTATATAATGTTGTCTCTTCTCATTTCTCGACAAAAACTGCCAAGTAAGGATATAGATGTTTACCTCGCACCTTTAATTCATGATCTCAAACTTTTGTGGAATGAAGGTGTTACAACATATGGCATGCACATAAAAACGATTTTTGTTTTGCGTGCTATGACATTGAGAGATCATGTATGACCAAAACTAAACTTGGAAACAACATACATTGCATACACAATAAGTAGTCAATAAATGAAAAATAAATTCTGATAATAGTATAGTAGTAGAGCATACAACATAAATCACAATATATGTAGTTCACTATATCCAATGATCAAATCACCTCAAAAGGTCGTTGAGAAACTCCACAATTAATATCTGTAGGTCATTGCTAATTAAAAGGTCAATTGGTAGAACAATGGAGCACACCCTAGGTCCATGACTATTTATGGTGCCCTGGAATGCATCGATTTGTATTATGAAAATCAGAGTATCAATGGAGTCGTAGTAATCGATGCACCAGTAGTAGAATCTGCAACTGAGGTCTGCCTGGAGGTAGCCGATCAATGTATCCGTCCAAAATTGACTCGAGCCGGAGATGAGTCGAGTCGGGGATGTGATTGCAATGCCTTTGGTGAGAGAGATGAGCGGGGTCGGAGATGCATATGTGAAGTGGCTGTGATCGTGATGCCTTTGGCGAGAGAGATGAGGTTGGAGAGATGAATTTGGGGAAATTTGTATTAAAATGAAGTACTAGAGTGAAGGGTAAAGGCTTCCGAAAACAAAGTTAAATATGCAGGATGTGCTTCTCCTGTGTTGGCTTCTTCTCAGCTTGTATCTCCACTATTCCGTATAGAATATTGGCAGCAAGTGAATGATATCCATTATGGAAAAACATACAGCTTAGTTGGAGCTCTCAACATAATGAAAATACGATAGAAAAGAAAAGATAAAATAGAAAATCAGATCTGGAGCAATAAATAAATCAGATCTAATACATTAGCTCTGTTTTCAAACCACAATAACAATAGAAGCTGGGTTCGTAGTTCAGGTCCGGAATCTCTTTTCTGTATGAAGTAAAAGAAGATGAAGACATTTCAGAAGATGGAGATCGTTTGCGGAAGCCTTGTTCGTAGATGAAATGGAATTTGCTTTCTGTTTCAGTCGATGTGCTCTGGAGTTTCAGTCGATGAAGAGGTGCTCTGCGTTTCAACTTCGTTTCAGTCGATGTGCTCTGGCGCTCTGCGATTACTCTTTCGTAGATGAAAAAACGCAAGTTAGGTTTATATTTAGGGCTAAAGGGAAGCCTTGATCTGCTGGTGTGGAAAATAATAGACAGATTGGGCAAAAGTGGAGTTCGTATACCATAGGACCGGCCCATTATGAGCATGCTACACCCGCATCAATACGACGTCGTTCTATTAAAAAAACGCGCACAACGGCCTTCTCGAAATCGGCACGTCTTTTCTTCCCATAGCTGCGTCTTTTGACATTGGCTATTTACATTTCTCGAAAAACTTTCTGACTTCACACTTCCATCAAGTTCCGTCAGACAGAGTTCCACCATTCGAAGTGCATTCTGAAGAAGGAAAAGTAAGAATCCGAACGAAGAAGAACGTTTTGCAGATCGAGAAAATGACGAGGTCTAAAGGCAAAACAGTTGCAAGGTATTTCATCCGAACGAACTATGTACTTTGCTTTTTGAAGTTCAAAATGTATCTCTGAGAATGTAACAATATGATTCATGTGCTAATTTGTTATAAATTTTAACATGCATGTAAGTCACTCTCAAAAACGAAAGAGATTGAGTATTGAATAGTGTGATTTATGTCTTATTGTGATCTCAATTTGAATAAGCAAAGTGCGAATGCTCATATGTCATCGAGCATAATAAGGAATTTGTCGATGTAACTACAATTTTTGGTAATATAGTGTTGCATACCTCAATATGTTTGTTATGCCTTAGTTTGTCATTGATTTTTTTTGTGATATAGTGTTGCATGTCACTGAAACTAATACTAGATTAACTTTATTAATTTTATGTAACCTGTGTATAATAATACATAAATCCTCTGCCTTGGTCTGTGACTGTAAGCAAGTCCACATGACATTGTTCATCTGATTGTGAATGATGTAACTTCTTTTCAATTTTATGTAAATTGTGTGTAAAAAGATGTAACTCATGTGCTTGCTCCACATGACATTGTTCATCTGATTGTGAATGATGTAACTTCTTTTCACTGTTATGTAAATTGTGTGTGACAAGATGTAACTCATGTGCTCCACATGACATTGTTCATCTGATTGTGAATGATGTAACTTCTTTTCAATGTTATGTAAATTGTGTGTGACAAGATGTAACTCATGTGCTCCACATGACATTGTTCATCTGATTGTGAATGATGTAACTTCTTCTCACTGTTATGTAAATTGTGTGTGACAAGATGTAACTCATGTGCTCCACATGACATTGTTCATCTGATTGTGAATGATGTAACTTCTTTTCAATTTTATGTAAATTGTGTGTAAAAAGATGTAACTCATGTGCTCCACATGACATTGTTCATCTGATTGTGAATGATGTAACTTCTTTTCACTTTTATGTAAATTGTGTGTAAAAAGATGTAACTCATGTGCTCCACATGACACTGTTCATCTGATTGTGAATGATGTAACTTCATTTCACTATTATGGCAATTGTGTGTGACAAAAATGTAACTCATGTGCAATATAAGGAGAACAAGAAGTGCTGTAGCTCCTGAAAATGAAACTCAGCATACAGAACATCACAATGAAACTGCAAGGATACTGAACACAGAAAAACCGATTCTAAGGCTAGAATATCATCAGCCAACAACAAGCAAAAAAAGAAAAGCAGCCCCAAAAAAGAAGAAAGCAGAATCTGAAGAATCAGACGATGAATATGAAGAAGTGGAGACAAGCAACAGGCCGCCTTCTGTAAATCTAAGAACAAGAGTAGGACCAACCCCTTTCATAAAGTTGATTAACCAATTAGATGAAAGAAAAAAAGCAGCAGTTGAAAGGATTGGATTTGGGGGATTACTGCATTTAAACTTTGACAGATTCTGTGGAGATTTGGTTGCGTTTTTGTTGAAGAACTTTAGACCAATTTCAGGACAGCTACAACTTGCCAATGGTGAGCTGCTAGATATTGAAGATGAAGATGTCAAAGTTGTATTTGGTCTGCCAAAGGGAAAGATAGAAGTTCAAGAAGCGAATGCGAAGAATGAAACTGAAGAGTATACCCAACTGCTACAAGAATGGAGAGAAGAATGGGGGATTGATAAAGGAAGCCCTCAAACATCAAAAATGATTGAAAAAATAGTTGCAGATACTGACTCTGGAGACAGATTCATCAGAAACTTTGTGGTCTTTACAGTCTCTTGCCTGATCAGAGGAAACCAGAGTGTTAACAGCAATTTTAAAATATTGATGTCTTTGGTTAATGTAGCTGATATACCAAACATGAATTGGTGCAACTACACAATAAGATCGTTGATGGATGCATGCGAGGAATGGCAAACTAATCAATCAAAGATGTTCAGTGGACCATTACTGTTTCTAATGATATGTTACTTTGACCGAGTACAATTCAAAGGCCAAATTATGCAGAGTGCTTATCCAACCATTAGAATCTGGGACAAGGAGAGAATTGACAAAAGAGTCAAAGATGAGAGAAAGGTGGGCTTTGGTCTGGGAAAGGTGACAAAGCGAATAATAACAGTCGAAGAGGAAGACAAAGATGAAGAGGAAGCAGGAAAAGAAGATGAAGAAAATGAAGATGCTGAAATGTTGTCAAAGGAGGTAAATTTTAATACAACACTTTGTGATCTTAAAGACTATTTTATGTAACTTAAATCAATTGTTACATAACTATAGGATTTTTCCAAGGAGACTGTAATCTTAATTCAATAACTATGTATCTTATGTATTATTAAACAACTATTATTATAATTATAATTTTTATAGGATTGTGTGAAGGAGATTATAGTTGTGGCACAAAAGTTTAGTGATGCTTTTGTGGAATTCTCAAAGTTGCCGTCAACCATTGCAAAAAAGTTCCCAAATTCTGATATCTTGAAGAAGATATACTTGACCACAGCTGATTACTTCATCAATCAAGCAAATGGAAATCAAGCAAAAGGAACTCAACGATTATCAGAGAAGTGTGTCCTTGAGGAAGATGATGACTTCTTTAATAAGCCTGGAGTTATGGAAGCCCTTGAGAAACTAGAGAAAGCAGCATTCCTGAAATTTTCAATGCCTTCATTTGACATAGGAATTGAGTTTAACATGTCACAGGGTGAAGGCACATCAAAAGTGGATGTAGAAGCTGCGAAGACTGAAACTGCTCCTGATGTACAAGATGTGATGACTGAAACTGTTGATGGAGTGGAAGATGTGATGATTGACACCATTGCTGGAATGACTGAAACTGTTTCTGTTGATGGAGAAGTGAATGGTAATGTTGAAGTGGCTGAAGTGGCTCAAATGGCTGTTGAGGAAGAAGTGACTGGAGATGATGGAGAAGTAAACAAGGAAATTGATAATAAGTCAGAGTAAGTTTTATTTTTTTCTTATGTAATTCATCAATACTTTTAACTAATAAAATAAACTTAACATTATATTATTTTTTACAAAGGAGTGTTGGTCTAAAGCCATATACCAGAAAGAGAAAGCTTCGAAAGTTAGGTGATTCAATTGTCAATTACAGATCACCTTTTCTGAAGAATAATAGAAGGCTATGCAAGGAATTTAGCAGAGATGAAAAGATTGTTCTTGATTGGGGATTCTCAAAAGAAGTTGAAAAGTAAGAAAAACTAATATTATATAATGTATTATTTCAATATAAACACCATTTGATAATTAATTGTTTCAATTTGTTTGAAAAATATTATTCTGTTAGAGACTGTGTCTATATAGATGAGGAAGGTGTGTTTATAACTCATGAAGAAATTCAGACACTTCTTGAAGGAAATGTAGACAACTCAATAATTGATGCATTCACTAAGATTCTGAATGACAGAGAAGAATCAAATAAGTCTACAAAGCGTGCCTTCATTGCGTCAACCCAAGTATATGTATGTATATTTTTTTCTTGTAAAATTGTAAAATAAAGTAGAGAACTTCAGTTTCTATATTTTTCTAAGAGTGACTCAATTTGAATGTGCAGGCAATGTTTGATTTTGCATCTGGTGACCCAATAGAAAATATGGTTGATAGATTGCAAAAAGAAATAAATGATGCTGCAGCAGATGTCACAAAATTAGATATGGTAAAATGTCATTAATATTTAATTTTACATAATTCAAGTGTAAAAACACAAGTCAAATTTGGTAATCCTTATATATATATTCTTAAATGTAAATCAGTGTGAAACAATATTAGTAATAGAAAATGTTTAGCATAATATGTAACTGCAGCGTTTGACTAATGTAAGTTCTTATATGAATTATGTAAACTCTATTGTTTTATGTAAGTCGGTGTATAAGATATATTGTTAAAAATGTTTTAAAACAAAGGGTGAAAAATAATACCGTAGTATGTAACTACAGAGCTGAGTGATGTAAGTTCTGATATGAATTATGTAGATTCTGTATTATTTTATGTAACTGAAGATAAATTTATAATAATGCAGATACTGTTTCCCATTCACAATCATGAGCACTATTATATCTACTGCTTTTACACAACAAACAACATTGTTGATGTAATTGACAACCGGATGCTTCCAGATGGGGTGAGCGTTGAGGACAAATATGACAAAACTTTGAAAAAAATGGTAAAAATTCAATACAATGTTTTTGGAAATAAGAAATCATATTATTCCATATTATTTTAATTCATTAATGTTACTTCTTGTATAGCATGAAGGATTCAAAGCCTTCTGTGAGAAAGTGCAGATTTCAAGCACAACAAGTTGGGTCCCCAGAATCTTATACATGCCATGGAGACATATTAGCAATCACGTTGACTGTGGAGTATATACTTTGCGTCACTTGGAGACGTTTCGTGGGCAAGGACATGTATGGGATTCTGGATTTGCAACTGCTGCCACAAATGATGGAATAAAAGCTCAAAATGAAACAATCCAAAAGATGAGAGTGATGTATGCAGCTCAAGTTTTACTGTCAAAATTTAACAAAGAAAGGGAAAACATATTGAAAAAAGCAAAAGACTACTTGAAGATGTAATTAATTAATATGATGGGGTTACAGTCAAAACATTTCATGGTTTTATGGAGGGTGTGGTGGTATGCGTTATGCTGTAGTTATCTGTTTGTATGCAGTAGCTTGTAATGCAGTGGTATGGGTTTTAGACATTTCTTGGTTTTATGCAGTAGCTTGTAATGCACCTCAAAAGTTATCTGTTTAGTATGTGGAAAACTTATATGTTGGATTATGATAAGTTGATGTAAACTAGTTTGTTTTATATGTTTTATGTCGAATCCAACGGCTGAGATTCATTCTCACTTCTCACCTAAAGCGTTCTTCTCACTTTATATAACTTATGTACACTTGCATTAGCTAATCAAGTAATACACATCTGATGTAAACAACGAGTACAACAAATGTAAGTCACGTTAAAGAACTATGTAACTGAAGGGAAAAACAATGTAACTACTGTTACTGAGCTGTGACTGCACAGATTACATTCTGTAATATAAATAAATGTAAACAAACTTTATTGCGTATTGTATTTATGGCAATGCTGTATGACATGTAAACAAACTGTAAAGACAATATAAATTCTATAAAATCAAATGTAACTCAAGGTGCAACAAAAGTAAAAGTTCACAATATGATATGTAAACTCCTCAAAGCATTTGGTTTTCCAAACATGTGTGACTATAACTAATTCTGCATTTGGTTCAAAGCATTGGATTGCATGAAGTATGGAGCAAAAACTTGTGGAGATCCAGACACATGCATTAAAGACATCATTCCTCCAATTGGATGAGCAAGTACATAACCTTGTGGAACCATGAAATTAACAGTGTCCTACAATCAAACAAAACAAAAATTAATGATAAGAAAATATGCATAAAATACATAAAAAAAATAAACAAATACCTGTACAACAGATTGAGCAACTGCTTTTGAATTGGAGGCAACATTTTGGGATTTTGAACGGCGAGCTTTGACTATTTTGCACTGTTTCTCAACAATACTTCTCTTTCGGGTATTTCGCTGACCTTTAGAACGAGACCGTGGAGGATCCAATATTGTCCTAGAAGCAGATTCATCCACAACAGAAGCATCTCTTTGTGCATCTAAAAAATGTTTAATAGACTCGTATCCTTGATCACATACTCGTCTAGCTTCAGGAAAACCAGCACTTGCACTCAATACTGAGTTGAATTTCCTAGTCATTTGCACTCTCCAAACAGAATCTTCCAATATTTTGCCAGACATAATATCGGTTCCGTGCGTAACAGAAAGATTAACATTTGGTAGAATGGCAGCCTTTGTCCATCTAGAGAGTATATAAACTTGGGGAATACATTTGACACAATGCACATTATATATACGCAAAATGTGTCTACAAAAAATGCCAACTTCAGAAAACATCTTACAAGTGCATGTCACTGTGTTGTCATGCCGATTAAAAGTAACACTGTGTCTAATCATATCTACCCCATTCAACCAAACATGATACACATAGTCATGACAATTCTGTGAGATTAATTTAAAAAAATGTGACATACCCTTCAAATATTGTTCTTGGAACACTTTGAAAATCTCAAGGGTATACACATCTCTCGCATGAGTCAACAAAGTGTCTTGTAGCAATACCATCTCAACGGTGCCTTCAGAACATCTAAAATCATGACCATTCTCATCTAACCTGCATTCATCAACAACATCACAAAACATTTTGTAAAAATCACATAATGTTGCAGTCTTGGTAAGTCTTCTAGATATAGATCTATTTGTAGATTCACTTCTTTGAGAGGATAAAACACCACCAGAGAAGTAATCCTTCGAAAAAGCAGGACACCACTTTTCTTTATGACTGTACAGCCTCTTCAACCATGTGTTGTCACTGCATTCATAAACTGTATTCAATCTGAAACAGATTTGAAAAGAAGACAAGATTACATATGAAGATATATATGTTACACCAAATGATTGAAAAAGTTACATAAAATAATCACGAAGTTACATCAGATAACAATAACTTACTCATTCCAATAGAAATCAAACTCTGCAACAGTATCACATCGTTTGACAACATAATCAAAAAGAGAAACAAAATTTATCTTCTTGCGTAGATGCATGATGTGTTTCTTTGAATTCTCATCTATATGCCAAGTGCAGAGTCTATGTCTCGCCCCAGGAAATATAGATTTGATAGCCGTTGCCATGGAAAATGACTGGTCTGTCATGAAACTGATGGGGTGTTTACCACCCATAGATTTCAGAAAAGTCTGAAATAACCAAACAAAAGACTCCACCCTTTCATTTAGAATAAAGCCACAACCAAACATTATATTTTTACAGTGGTGAATCATACCAATAAATGGACCACAGATCATATCATACTTGTTAGTCCTGTAAGTTGTATCATGCACAACAAGATCTCCAAACCTCTCATAATCAGATCTCATTTGACCATCTCTCCAGAAAAAACAAGTCAGTATACCATCAACCAACTCAAAATCAAAGAAAAAATCACATTCCACTTCAGCCCTTTTCTTAAATATACCAATCAAAGTGTTCGAATCAGTACCATCAAACGTTTTACTTCTTTCAGATTCTAGAACGTTATAAGCATCACGTTTCGTGAATCCAAGAGCACTAACACCACCAGCCTGTTTTTGAAGCATCCTGTGAACATCTGAAACCTTTGTTCCACTCTCCTTCATCAACATAATAAATTCAAGATACTCACGATCAACGCCTCTATGTGATTTCAGCAGGTGTCTTTGACCAATTGCACAGAAAGCATGGTTGTGATCAATAATATATTCTTTGTTTAAACATGGCTTCATTTAAGACATTTTGCTCATGTTCTATTTTTTTTCAAATTGCCAACAAAAATTAAGAGTTTTTTCAAACTAGGGTAGTTCTAAAACTTATTTCCCAAACTATGGTACTTGATGCCACATAGTTGCTAGTCATTTCATGTCATCAAATTTGGGTGAGTTTTACTTAGTAAAAAAGTATTCCACTAGAGAGAGTTGAACCTACAGCCTCTCATGTACTTTAGATTAGTACAAGAACCACTAGGCTACAATGCTCATTTGGTACAAAATCTCATTTAATCAACTTTAACATATAAGATAATGTAGATTTTAAATTCTGAGATTTACTATTTTAACTCGTGTATTAGTCGTTCATTTAGAGTATATTACTCCTTTCTCAAATAATTATAGAATATATTAACATTTTTATTTGAGACATTCAATTAAAACATAAAAAACCCAATAAAACATTATGATAAAAAGCGTATTTGGATATATGTAATTTATTTTTTCGAGTTCAAAAAAAATGCTCGAAATCAAGCTAATCAAATAAATAAATAAATAAATAAATAAATAAATAAATAAATAAATAAATAAATTAACAAATAAATAAATAAACTTATTAATAAAAATAAACAAATAAATAAATAAAATATATTATTTATTTATTTATGTATTTATTTATAAATTTATTTATTTATTGTTTTATTTATTTATATTATTTATTTATTTATTTGTTTATTGATTTATTTATTTATTTATTTATTTATTTATTTTGTTACTTTTTTTAATTAATTATTTATTGATTGATTTATTTTATTTATTTATTTATTTATTTATTTATTTATTCATTTAGTTATTTACTTATTTATTTATTTATTAAATAATTTAGTTATTTACTTATTTATTTATCTATTGATTTATTTATTTTTATTTATTTATTTATTTATTTATTTATTTATTTATTTTTTATTTACTTGTTTATTTATTTATTTATTTATTTATTAACTTATTTACTTATTTACTTCTTTAAGGACCGTTCAGCTGGAACACTTCGCGCCCTCACATGGGCTGACCTCCTCAAGGACCCTACGGACAAAGAGCGCAGATGAATCCAACAGGAGATGGAGGACACATGTCTTGCCGATATAAACAAAAAGATTCCTTCAATTAGGAACATTGTACCTTCAAGTCACGCTGGAATCTGTTCTAACTAGGCTGGGCACTCTGATTCAGAAATTCAAAGTGCAATTGCGTTTAAGGTCACGACTAACGTAAACCGGGCAGCGACAGATTTATTCAAAGTGGGTGAAAAATACTCCTTCTTTGGAGAATATGGTTTTGACTCAGTCAAAATTGAAACAAAATCTTTTAAATTTGCAGTGGAAAATAGTGATTTGGTTGTCTTTGAAATCAAAAAATCTCTTATGCACAAGATAAGCTTCAAACTTGAGCTTGCTCCAAAATATAAAGTACTATTTTTTTATAATTACATATATCATAATACGTTTCTTATCATAATTTTTAATTGGGTTTTTATTTTTAAATTGAATGTCTCAAATTAAAATTTTAACGTATTCTTTAATTATTTGAGAAAGAAGTAATATTCTCTAAAGGAATGAGTAACCTCGTCTCTTCTCCTTCCAATCCTTCTTCGCTGCAGATGCTCCAACACCTCTGCGGCGTCAATCTCAACTTGGAAGGTACGAAACCCTAGGGACATCACCCACGAAGTAGCATGAAGGACAACAACAAGCTCAACTTCAAACGAAGATGAAGCCGAGATCCCAGTAAAGAAGTATAGCTTCTCCATATATGCCAACCAATAATTCCTAGTAAACAATGCTTGAAAATATTATCAAGTGTTTTAGAACCTGCTTGAATCCACCAAGTAATGAGGACCTCCCTTATAGAATCTGTTTAATGAGATATAGAAACTCTAAAAATCCCCATAAAATACTCCCACACTGGTCTAATCCTTGTACCGCCAAAGAAAACATGATCCACAACATCAGAATGAGCTTTACATAAAGGGCATATAGAAGGATTGATCACTGTCTGGAATCTAGACAAGTTATCTGAAATAGGCAGAGAACCATTAAGCAATCTCCAAAGGAACAATCTCATCTTTAGAGGAAGCGCAGGGTGCCAATTGATCTTAGCAGAAAAGGTAGTAGATTTTTCATCCCTAACTTCCTCATAAGCAGATTTTAGAGAAAAAACACATTAGGCTGTAGGGTCCCAAAAATACTCCCATCAGTGTTCACACCACACAGTGATGAAGCAAACTCATTAATAGAACAAATTCTTCTCCAAATAGGAGAGTCATAGACTTTAGGGACCATATTTGGACCTCTAGGATATCTAGCTCTCAAAAAACTAGCCCAAATAGAATCCACAGTCTTCCATTTCCACGATAATTTAATAGAAAATGCTTTTTCAATATCTGAAAGGCTTCTAATACCAAGCCCCCCTCCTCATTTGGATAGCATAGATGTGACCATTTCACCCAATGATATTTCCTTTTTGAATTAGAAGAACCCCAAAGAAAGCAAGCCATTTTCTTCTAAATGATATTGGCAACCTTTTTTGGGAGTTTATCAGCCGCCATAGTATCTAAGGGAATTGTATTTAACACATGCTTTATTAGAATCAATCTACCAGCCATTGACAGGTGACTTTGTTTCCAGGTTGAGAGCTTAGAGTCAAATTTATGAATAAGGTCCATGCAATGACTAAATATGTTCATTCCTGTAAGAAATAATTGTAATTAGATTTTGATGATGCTATATTAATTAGGACTTTAGAGTACCCCGCTAAAGAAAATTGTATTAGATTTTTTTTGTGTAAAGCATTCTTAGAATACTCGACTTGACAGAAGACCTCTAGGCTCTTTGTTAGCCCTTATCCAGACAGAAGCCTTTTCGTCTCTCTGTTAATCTATATCGGGACAGAAGATCTTCAGCTCATCCTGACAGAAGTGCTCAGAGTCCCCTTCTGACGGAACCCTAGTTCAAACATTCAAGAAGGGTTGACACTTCGAGAATTTCCATGAATCTACCTAAGCCGGTGAAACCAACGGAAGATTCCTTCAACGGCTAGAAGACTTCAACGGAAAAGCTACATACAGTACACGCATTAAATGCTCATTTAATGAGCCCCATACGCTAAAGAGTAAAAGTTGATGATTAGCCGACATTTCAAGATATCCTTATCCCAAAATAGCAACTCGCCAACTTTACTGGGTCCTACCGGTCAAGTCAACTGAATGTGCATTTAATGAAGTTGTCTTCTACACTCCAACGGGAAGACCGCTCCCAGTATATAAGATACACTTCGAAGGATTGGAAAAACAATGATTCAACGATTCATTTCTCAAAGTACAAATATTCAAACGCTCAAAGACTCCAACCTCTATTCAGCTCGAGCAACACACTTAATGTTGGGAAAAGATTATAATCTCCATATCTTTTTTTTTTCAACGTGAGAGAATCGTTCCTCCAGTTCTTCAACACTTCTAGAGCCTCATTTACACATCCTTTGTGAAGAAGCTACGTTGGAGAAAACTGACTTCCCATCAAACACTTCTTGTAAAAGAAGGGACATCTCAAAATAGCTGGAGTAGTGATGTGGGGATACTTCAAGAGACTCAGTGAAACGAGACCAGTCATCAGGAAGCCAGGAAGAACATACCGGGTGACAACTAGGCTTGAAGATGACGTGGAGTGCTTCTTAAGTGCTAGGAACTAAGGCGTTGTAAACTGTCGTTTTTACAAGCGTAGTGGAACAGTGGACTAGAGAAACACGTTGTTCCTTGAACCACTATAAAAACCCCGGTGTCATTTATTTTACGCATTTTACTTTCCGCACTTAGAACTCTAACTGATTAACTCAAAAAGTTGGACTCTGTGTTCAACAGATCTCCTTTAAGAGTTAACAGAAAGGCATTTGCCTTAGTGTTTCCCTGAGGCTACCCGGATAGAACCTAATCCGCTGCTAGGTCCAGTTCTGTCATCAGAACTCGATCCTCTCTGTCACCAGAACCAGACCTTTTCTGTTGAGTCACTTGTGACTTTGAGAAAAGTTTGAAAAACCTGAACAGTCTATTCACCCCCCCCCCACCTCTAGACTGTTCCTAGTATAAACGGGACCAACGAGTGGTATCAGAGCCTCCTTGTTCTTGTAATCTTTTAGGTTACCTGTTGAACAAAGATCCACTTGTTTCTTAGCCTCTTTTTAATTTCTTATTATGGATAACACTCTTTCAAAGAATATTATGTTTTCAGTTACTAAGTTTGATGATGGGAAGATACGCATGAAGACCCATCTCTGTGCACTCCATGATGAAATGTGGGAAAGTCCTAGATG